TTGATTATTTACATGTAACAGGATTTTAAAAGTCTTTAAATAGTTTTTCTTCTTAATAAATCAATAGGATTTGCATTTATCTTGCATGGCTACCCTGACAAATGACCACAAACTGGTGGTTTAAACAATGCAGCTGCTTGGGAAGGTAAGAGGTAGTTCAAGTTCAACTTCCAAGTTCAAGACTCATCTCTGCTGCAGAATGAGTTTGAGGCCATGTGTCCCTTCTACCAGAGGTGAGGGAAATGACTCTGCTTGGGAGACGAGAGCCACTTCCCCAAGTTCCTGAGGAATGCTGTCTTTCATCTAAGTACCAGAAATCCTTCTATAGTCCAGGCTGAGCACATTTTTGGATACTTGGACTACCTTTCGGAGTCTGGGGAATTGGAGTTTCCTTTGGACCTGATAATATGCACTAGTATTCACAAAAGATGTTGGGTTGACAAGAAGGTTTGCATTAGTCATGCTAATCTGGCATTGCCAAATGATGTAACATTTGAAATGATGTACCTGCTGGGGAATCCTGGCTCACTCGTCCTGACCAGTTAACAGGCAGCTTCACTGTTCACTTAGCCTGGGAAGCCATACCACCGTCTAGGCAATGCTACCCCCCTGAGATGAAGGCAGTGACTAAAGACACAGGGTCTGGGGGATGAGGACAGAGTTCAACCCTTGCTACACTGTCAGCCCGTCCTACTCCATCTCTTGGGATGACGTGAAATGTGAGTCTTTTTTCTTTTTAGCTTTTCAGAAGTCGAAAGCAACTCATCAACATAAATTCATGTTCTTACAAGCGATGAAGCAGATGAAATTTGCCTTCTTGTTGTACCTTCCCCCTAAGCTTGGAGAGCTGAGGACTCAGGTGAAGATTGATGCTGGTTTCCAAGTCATTAGGCAGAATGAGTGGAAATTTGTGTGCTGAACATCTCTGAACGTAAAGAGATCAAAGGGATGAAGGAAGATGGGAGAGAAGAAATACAAAGTATGAGGCCTCTTAGATTTAAGAGAATACAAAGGATCAGTAACATGGCTCTGTGGATAAAGGCCCTTGTGTCAAGTCTGATGGCCTGAGTTTGAACCCCAGGTTCCACACAGTGGAGAAAACTCACTCCTACAAATTATCCTTAGATGCCACACACGGGTTGGCTTCTGAGAAATGACACCTAAAACTAATCTCTCCTCTTCATGATGATGTGTGTGCGTGCATGGACGCGTGCACGCACACACACATGCTCACACGTTCATGCACACCCACCCTTCCCCATCACACTAAACCTAAGGTGAAACACACCAGAACTTCATCAGATGCGTCAGGATTAATGTGGACATGTCTCCGGCTTCTCTCTTCCCTAGGACCCCACGGCAAGCCTTGTGTGTGAACTTCTATGCTTAGAGAGAAGACAATTTCCTCCCCAAGGTCGAAGATCCATCTTGTTTCTCTATTTTCTTTTCTGGCTGTACTCTACCTACTTCATGGGACAGTCCTAATCAGGAGCCTCAGTTTCCCACCTTCCCATTAAGCAAGGCAGGTTCAGAAGGCAAGTATGATTTATTTTTTATGATCTTCTTGGACAAGCCCCTAATTTTGCCGATAAGGAAACCGAAGTTCCCAGGAGGCCAGGGATATGGGATGTCCCCGTGTCCCTGAAAGTCACCAAGTCCACAGGGGAGGTTTGTGGGCACTTGCTGATTGATGGTCTGAGGCGTAGGGTCAAACAGATAGCTGTAAGTGGCCTGTAAATCCAATGCCATCTCTAAGGAAGCAAGGAGCCCCTTCTGGTGTGCAAACATAGCTTTTAGAGGCAGGTTATCGTCTAAAAAAAACTGCAAGGCATTGTTCACCTGGCTTCACCTGCTGTACCTGTAGATGAGATTCCCTCTAACAACACCCCCCTCTTACAACTCCCTGATCCCCTGGCAGCTGTCTCTTCCAGTGCATCAAGCCAGCAAGATGCTTAGTGGACTCAAAGGCACTTCAAGGCACAGCTGGGCCTAGAGATAAGAAGGGCCATGCCAGCAGCTGGGTGGGCCATTCTGTGGAAGGGTGGGGAAGGCCGGGGCTGGGGGAGGCTCAAGTTCAGTGATGCTGACTAAGTGATGGGGGAAGAGTCTTCTCTCATCCCACTGTGGTGGGGCTGCCTGAGGTGGAGTGAGCTGGTAGAAGACACTGTGCTAGCTCTCTGAGGTAGCAGCCAACCCTTGGAGGAACCCCAGCCCTGAGATAGACCTTTAGGGCCCAGGCTGGATTGGGATCAGTATGCTCTATGTGATAAAGGATGGCTGGAGGCCCTGTTCTCTGGGGGTGGATCCCTGGGACCCTAAAGGACAGCTGTTTATCATTCTGCCTCCACCCAACCCTAGGAGGCTCTCCAGAGACTGATAAATTCCTTCAGCACTCAAGCATGCCATGTTTTCAAATAATTATATGTTTGTTCCTGTTAACATAAGTGACTAATGATCATACTTGGAAAATGCTGACAAGGGAAAATAAGATTCTAAATTCCCCTTACGTCACGTCAATCAAAATAACCTGTATTCTAGACTCATATAGTGCATTGTTTCTAAGCATTTGAAAAGGTATGGTAATAATCAGAATAAAGCTATATTCTACATTTTCTTACCTCATAATATTTCATATTCTGTCATTGCTATAGCGAACTTGGACACAATTCTCTTTTGAGACAGAGCCTCACTATGTAGATCAGGCTGCCCTCAAAGAGAGATCCGTCTACCTCTGCCTCCAAAGTGCAGGGATTAAAGGCATGTGCCACCGGGACTGGCAGAATAGGTACAGTCTTGACAGTCTTCCTTTGATTTGGAAGAGGTGATATATTCTGTCATTCCTATAATGTTAGACTGTTTAAGCTTTACATGCTTACAAATAAGGTCATACTGACATCTTATTTTACAACTTCAATTGCTTCCTTAGAGGAAATCTCCAAGGTGGAATTCATCTACTTAATGCACATAAACATGTATAGGAATGAAATGTCTAATACTTTATTAAATACATCAAAATATCTTCTAAGTTGTCTTCCTACAGGATATATAATAATTACCATTATAAAATGTTAAAAATAGAGTCTTAAAAATAATGGGAAATTATTAATAATCCTACCACTGAAAAGGATTAACTTTTTCATATAAAGTCATCTCTTGGATTTAAAGTGGGTATGCGTAGAATATGTATGTGTGTGTGTGTGTGTGTGTGTGTGTGTGTGTGTGTGTGTGTGTGAGCACACAAGTGAGTTTGGATACATGTGTATGGAGGTCAGAGATTGAAACAGGACTCTTCCCAGACGTCTCTCTATCGTATGTATCAATCAAGGGTCTCTCACTTAAATCCAGAGCTCACTAGTTCAGCTAGTCTAAGTATCCAGCTAGATCCAGGCATCCTGTTTCTTCTGTGGGCTGGGATTATAGGCTGGTGAACAAACATTTACATAGGCTCTGGAGATCCGAACTCTGATCTTCACTCTTGCATAAGAAACACTTTTACTAATTAAACCACTTCCCAGCTTCTTGATTATGGCTGTCAATCACTACAGAACATTCCACTGTATATGCCTTCCCTCTTGGTTGTTGTTGTTGGACGCTTTCTCAGCCCTACCCCCAATTCCCCACTACTGCACTCTACCATTCTACGCCAAATGCAAACATTAGTCTTAGTGACTGCCACAGGATTACAGGCTGTTTTCTTGGAGTCTTCGAAGTTGCTGGTGTCCTGAAAGAAAAGCTGGGTTCACCCAGACAGGGAGGCAGACAGAGTATTTAGGCAGGAAGGTGAGAGTACAAGAGAGTGTGGTGTTTGCCCAGTAACCACTCCAAGTGGGCACAATGACTTGTCACTCCAGAAGGGAGGGGTGGGGGATTTACGGGGTCCTCCTTATAGGAGCCTTGGGTTCAAATGTCTGATATCCTACTTAAACCAAACTAAGACAAAGAGAAAAATCTATTTGAAGGTTAACTAGAAGTCAGTGGTCAGCTGGCTTTAGTTCTGTTTGGATGCAGACTACAAATCCTGCTCCCAGGAGCTCTCGTAGCCGCCCTGTCCGTGCTCCTCTGACTGATCTCCCTTCTCAGGCAGCCTCTCCTCGCTTAACAAAAGACAGCCATCCAGCAGCTCTTTATGGATGTGGTTCCCGTCCTGCTTCATCCTGGTGCCCATAGCAGCATACATTCCAACATGGACTGGCCAACGTGGACACATCTCCAAGCGGCAGAACCCACAAGAGCCGCATCATGTCATGTGAGGAAATAGTCCTTGGCTGTCACAGAATGGAGGGTTGGGTGCCGGATAGACAAGCATCTGATATGCTCACCATCTCACAGAGCAAAGGGGTCCAGGGTAGTCATTCTGAAGAAGTCCAGCAGATGGTCACTCAAGAACACAGGATTAGGAAGCATCGTAGTAGTGGGTTAGCCTGAGGGGGGCTTGTCCACAGTGCCATCTAGTGTTGCATCGTGGCATAGCATGGAAGTTGAGTGAAAAGCACCTGGACAGTGGCTCCCCATTTGGCTTCCAGAAAGGGTGGCAGGCTGAGGCAAGGGGTCATTTCTCAGTAGTTTGGTCAGAGTAGTGGCATTTGGGAACACAAAGCTAAGATGTGAAAGCAGCTGTTGACAAGTATAACTGGCACCCTGGAAGAGGGAAGAAACTCAGTCTATGGCTCTGGAATGGCACTAGCTGCCCTGGGCAAAACCTGGAGGGAAAGTGGGGATTAAACGCCACTTAGAACTGTCTGGCGGAGGAGTGGGACTTCCTCCTAGAGAGTAAGTTCCTTGAACTTATGGTGTATGAAGCAGTGATTTGATGGCTCTAACTTAGAGCTGTAACGTGAAGGCTCTCACACTGGGTGTGGGACCAGCCAGAACACTTCTGGATTTTAATTATATAGCTTTATTATACCTTGGCGGAGAAGGAAGAGACAATGGTGTCTTTCTCCTTAACTTCTCTTTTCCAAGGCTTTTTGTCTGTAGCCAGGCTCTCCCACTCCGCATCCAGGCAGCCAAGTGCTCTCCCAATTCTGCCTACGCCCTAACATCCGCCTCCCCAGCACATGTCTCTGCTACATAATCGGTCCCCTTCTCCCCAGCTCCAGCATCTGACACAGCTCACTGTTGGCAAGAGTCCAGCTATAAACTCATCTTAGATCTCTGCTTAAAAAATAACATATCGTTCTAAACAACTCAAGTCACTTTCTGTGTATTCATTTCTGTGCCTACTCTTAGTTTTTTTCTTTAATTATTACGATTGTACGAATTGTGGTGGGGGAGGAGCTGTACCAGTGTGCGCATATTCGGATCGTAGGGCAACTTTGTGAAGTTGGTTCTCTCGTCTACTTTTATGTGGGTCCTGGAGGTGAAACTCAAGTTTCCGGGCTTGCCTGGCAAGCGCCTTTACCTGCTGAGCTGTTGTTCTAGCCCCTTTAGCTGTGTTTCAATTTTGTTTCTTCCAGCTGGACCATTAGAACTGTTAGAGGCCTCCAGACGTTAGCACAACTGACTCCATGATGGAAGTGCCTTTTAGGCTGTAAAACTCAGCATGTAGACAGCACCACCTGCCAAAAATAAAAACAAAGACCGAATCCATCAAAGTCCATAGTTCTAGGCATATCTCTAAATGTGCTAACCTTGCTTTTTGGCTTTGGTAGTTCTGTTTCTGGCTAACTGTTCTTGTTCATTGAAGTATGTCAATCCAGGACATGGCTTTTTGTGCCTAAAAGCTCACTCTGAGAAAGGTTCAGGGCTACACTAAGTTCTCAAACACCCAGTGTAGTCACTGACTGACTAATAAAGATTTTCTGTTGACTTAAATCCATTTCTGAGCAGTCTTCTCTGGTGAATACTCCACAACAAGAACCATGGTGGGAATTTTCTAAGATACACTTCTTTGACAAGGATGTAGACAAAATCTCATGTATCCTGTTAGCCCGGGTTGACTTTGACTCAGTATGTAGCCCAGTATGACTCTGAACTCAGGATCCTCTTGCTCGGCCTCCCGAGCTCTGGGATCGCAGGCATGCAGTATCATGTTAGTCTAATATAACCTTCTGAATCTTCCACAAAGATTAAAAAATAGTTGGTTAAAATCTGTGTACCTAAGTTCTAGTTGTGAGCTAGTTTGGTTGTTTGCTAAAGACACATAAGGATGGCCATACTAAACCCTGTGATATATAAAAGGGCCAGGATCCCTCAGAAGTAGCAATGAGATCATGAGAAAGCATCTACTGAGTGTCACACTGTGCTCTGTATCATTAGGTCATGCATTGCCCTTAGATCTCTCAGGCAAGAAGTCTAGTTTTATTAAAAAGAGAGAGAGAATAAATAAGAACCCCGGGCACCAGCAAGATACTCAGAAGGTTTGATCCTTGGAGCCCACATAAAAGTGGAAGAAGAAATTCAACTCCATAAAATTGTCCTCTAAGCTCCAGGCACACAGCATGGCATGACTGCCGCTCCTGATCCGGCATGTGTGCATACACACACACACACACACACACACACACACACACACACAAAGAAAATAAAATTTTAAAATAAGGACCTTAGGTCTGGAAAGAACTTTGCTCATAAAATAAGACCCAAACCTCAAACTCAAACCAGCCTTCCCTCCTTTTTGTCTGAAAGAAGTAAACAAAGCACAATTATGGAACAACTGAATTTTCAGTAAAGAAAGCAACACCCTTCATTTTGGTACACATTCCCCCCCGGGGGCACAGAGGAATCATATTTTCCTTATAACTGGATCCAGGACATGGAGCTAAAAACCTCCTTTCTTAGCCCTGGTGGCCCAAACACCAGAGACATTAGTGGCCAGGTCTTCTTAGTACAGAATTCGCATCTGGGAGTAGAAATGGGAGGGAGATTGGACTGAATGACATGGAAAACTGTCCAGTAAAAGAGTGGACTTTCTTCCCAGGGAGAGCATTCACTATCCCTGAAAACTATGTCCCGTGTCCCAGTGTTGATTTGGTTGCCCCTTGCTGCACTGAGGTGCAGAGCCGCTAACTCCAGTGACCTCTAGTGGCATGTTCCCAGTCTCAGTGTAAGGCTCGAGGAGCTGGTGACAACAGACCAAGGAGGCAATGCTCAGTCAGTTGTGATGTGTTCTGAATCCCAGCCTCCATCAAAGTATCTCAAAAGATGTCCATGTCACTCAAATCCACGCCCCTGAGCCTAGAAGCCTCCCTCCACGGCAGCCTCCCAGGCTTCTAGAAGAGCTTCCAAATGCTCTGCCTTGCTTTCCTCTCTGATTCTAATCACATTAGTTAATCAAACAGCCTCTCCAAGGATCTCTTTCCAAATACAGAGGGAAGTCAGCAAAACCTCAGCATCCCTGGGAGTGCAGGAGCAAATGCATGCAGAGCACAAGGTCCTGTTATTTCAACAAAGCCTGGGAAATGGGGGTACCCTTAGTAATTTTGGCATCTGAGGGAGAGACCACCTGGAGGCCTCCTTTTTGCTCAGCTCTCCTCCCCACCTTGTACCTCAGTGAGCACCTTGGCCACACCCCAACCTTCTGAAAGAGGAAGGCTGCAGCACAGGAATTGAGAGTGGACAAGAAGAAAGAACACGGGTTTTGCTGGAGGATCCTACATGCAGGTCAGGACAGGGTCAGAAGTAATGGAGAGCCCTCTTGGTATCTTAGGAATTATGCTGGTGGTGAAGATTCCTCTGGGGCTATACAGTAGTCAGTAGTCCTCCCTTCACCCAGGGGTTACCTTTCAAGACCCCTTGAGCCATATACATATACGTATATACTAATACATATTAGTGATTTTCCAAAGCATATATATATATATGATATATATGATAAAGTTTAGTTTATGAATTAGGCACAGTAAGAGGTTCTATTAGTTAAAAATAAAATAGATTATAACGTATACAAGAATAAAATTGCCAACATCACTTCTCTTGGGCTTTGGGGTTGTTTCTTGGACACAAGCACTGCAGTACCACGATTGATATGATGACTGAGACGACCTCTGAGTGATTAACGGGAAGGTAGTGTACACAGCATGGATACACTGGACAAAATGGTGATTCGCATCTAGAGCAGGATTTCTTGAAATCTAGTGCAAGATTTCTCCGAACTACTCAGAGCATTGTGCAATTTCAAACTCGTAAATTGTTCTTGGAATTTACCATTCGATATTTTCAGAGAGTGGTTGACCAAGGATAACTGAAACCACAGCAAAAGAAACCTCTGGTTGGGGTGGAGATCTTCTAAGACAGCGTTTGTGCTTGATTTGTGCAATTTAGTTACTCAATAACTAAGTAGGTAAATAATGTTATATGTTCAATGGATGTATATATTCTTTCATTTAAAAGTTTCATTCCCATTTCAGGTTTTGTAGTGAAAGTATACGCTCTCTCTACCCACGATCGCAAATGGCAACAGTGAGAGATGAGGAGATAATTTACAACTGATCCTGAGCACTCAGGCCTATAAATGTCAACCTTAGTTCCCCTGGATTCCAAAAGAGATTAGGAAGTAAACTGGCCTTAAAAAGTGAATTCGTTTATAGTTTGGACATAGGAGGAGAAAGGGGTGGCTTCCTCTCTGTGTCTTTGGCAGTCTTACAATTTATAGAAAGCATGAGAAAAGGCCAAGACAAACTGATGTCGGATCTTTGAGAGCAGCGGAGCCTTTCTCGGCTCTGGCGGGCTTAACCCAAGGGACTAGGGTGCCATATGATCAGAGATCACCAGAGCCACACTGGGACAGTGGCTCTCAAGCTGCTGGGAAATAAGGGACTTGGACAAAGAGTTGAACAAAGTGAAAGCTTATTGAGACAAAACGAGAAAGACTCCTGAGAGCAGGAGCAGTCAGTCCCAAGAGAGGGCGCCCGCTGAGCCATGTCATGTAGAGACTTCTTATTGGACTTATGGCAGGAACTGAGCAAAGACTGAGGAAATTTGATTGAAATTGGTTCTTTTCTGACTATATCGCAAGCTAAGCCATTGTGGGCTCACACATTCCTCATAGGCCCTCTTGGTCCAATCAGGGAGAGGATCACATATTAACAACCCAATCAGAGGAACACATGCTGCCGTCATCTCAGCTCATTCTTTTTCTCCCTTGGCTTGTTTTACTGCTCCTTAATTAAACTATGTTCTCTCTTTGTTCCTAGGTTACATGACTAGCTTGTAGTTGGCCATGGGCCCACGCCTGTACAGGGTGCTAAGTCCTATCCAATATACAGATTTGGCTGTGAGGCTATTTAATAGGGGAAGGCCGCCTGCTAGGCCTCAGATTGCCATCACTGACTCCATCTTCTGCATGGAGGACACAGTTGTCTCTCTTTAGAATTAGAATGTTTCCAGTCCCTGCAGGGTGCGAGCCCATTCTCCCTCAGCATGGAATCATGGTGACATAATCACCCTCATTCCTATAGAAAACCTTCTTGGGCTTTGGCCAGAGAGAGAACTAACTGCTGCTGGTTCTGGAAATGGAAGAAGGGGCCATGGATGAGACAAGGACCACAGAAGCTGTCATTTCTGTAACCTTCTTAATGCTTCCAGCGATGTATCTGAGAAGGGCCTTGGTTTAGGAAGTTCTTTGTTCTGTTACTATTTTTAAAAAGCTCATGAAGCTGCTTCCATATGAAAGATGGAATCTGGGGGATCCTGCATCTGTGTTCCCAGGCCGTGGTCACATGGGTCTCATATTTAGCTCCAGAAGAAACCCTTATCCCCTTAAAGGTAGGAGCTTTGCTTTTGCATGGCAACGCCAAGCCTCTAATATTAACATTCATCAAGCTAGATATGTTCCCTGCTCTTGTAGGTTTCGCCATGCCATTTTATAAACGTAAAGACGTAGCTGATCTGTTTGGTGGCAGGTGAAGTGCTAGCAACATAGGCCTACCATGTTGCTGCGATGTGTTAAACCCTCTACTTAACCTTCGCATAACATCCTTCCAATTATAAACCTTACAGGAGGAAACCCAGGCATAGAGCCGGAAGAAATGTAAAACCTCTTGCTTCCCTTGACAGTAGCGCTGGGAGGCAACAGATTCGCCCACCTTCCCCCCACCCCCGGAGGAAGCAGGACTTTAAGCATTGTTTAGAAACACAACAAACAACAGCCTGGCAGGTCAGAAGGCCAGCCTCTTTCCCAGCAAGGAGGCAGGAAGCCAGCTGTACACACAGAGTGCTTCCCAGGTGGGGTCAGTTTGGGGAGGCCCCACTGGAGCCTGAACGGATGCTCTCTGGAGAAACTCTTACTGTGTTAAACCTGGCCCAGAGGGACAGCCACACCTGTCCCAGATCTGTCTCCCAGCTTCCAGGAGGTTAAGTGAAAGCAGATGTGTCACATTGCCCCAGTTCTTGTGCTACTATCTGTGAAAGGCCTCAGTTTCCCTGTGTGACGCTTTCGGGGGACTGCAATTGTAGTGTCTGTGCTAGACTGATAAAGAAGCGCAGTTTAAAGACACATCGTGAGCATCTGTGATCTAAAGACATCTTCATGATGATGCAGACACCAGTGTTGCTGGGCTTAAGGTCACAGCCTGCGCCACAACAAGCCAGGTTCAGTCACCGGTCTTAGATAAGGAAATTAATAGATCTAAATTAATAGTAAAAGCAGAAAGGGGATTTTAATTCAATACGACCACACTAGGAAGAAAGACTGAGTCTCAGCAGCCTTCCAAGTCCATCTTCAGGATCCTGAGCGGACGTGACAGTTTAAGTGGAGGGTAGTTTACTAAGTTCCAGGGGATGACTTTCCTCTCTGGCTGCTACAAACTTTAATCAGTAGCTTCTTCCGGTCTATTGTTTCAACAGGCAGACAGTCAACGGAAGCACGTAGTGTCTCTTCGGAACATCTTCATTTCTGCCAGCCTGGGTATACCAGGAACACTTAGACAACCATGGAACTATGAAGAATTTCTTCAAGGAAGTCTTCCCTGACAATTCACATTAGATTGTTCTTCTTGTGTCTTGAGGTGGTTAGTGCCCCCTTCCCAAGTCTATGTCCACCCAGAGCCTATGAATGTGATCTCATGAGAAACAGGGTCTTTGCAGACGCAGTCAAAGTCAGACAAACTCATACTGGGTAAAAGCGGGAACTAAATCCCACACAACTAATGTCTTTATAAAAAGAGAGCAAGGCGCAGAGGATTAGGGGAGTATACATGCATACTCTCCTCCAAAGGCTCAGGAGCTATTGCAGGCTAGAGGACTCAAAGAGAGTGAGAGCCAGAGATGGTAATGACAAGGAATCTTCTGGGCAAGCCAGGCGGCTGCATGTATGAACTCACAGCGATTGTGACAACATGTGCAAGACCTGTGCAAACCCAAGCCAGATCAAACCCAGCAGGAAGAGGGAGGTGAGCACAAAGTTTCAATCCCAAGCCGAGGAAGCTATTGGCAATTGTTAGCTGCTAGAAGAAGGGTCAGTTTGCTTTAAGATTTGCTCTAAGAGTGTAGCACTTAATTGAAGCCACTCAATCAAGAATATTTGGGTAGTACAAATTGACCTTGACAAAATTGGGTGGGTAAGGAGGTGGGTGGAGCTGGGAATAGTTGGGTGATGGAAGGCAAATATAATCAAAATACAGTGTATGATATTTCAAAGCATTCATATATATATATATATACATATATATGTACACGAATATGTGTGTGTGTTCTTCTTACAAAATACCAAACAAAAGGTAGAAAGAACCTAAGGAATGGCACATAAGATTGTTCTCTGAATTCTATAATCACATACACACACATGTGTGTGCATGCACACATACACACCCTACACATGTACTTGTACCCACATATACAAAAACATGCACATAAATAGGCATACACATAAACATAACTTTAAAGAAGAGAGAAATTTGTGCAAAAACAACAACGAACCGTGGTGAGGTAGAGACTGAAGTGACACCAACATCTTTGAGAAAGACCAAGGATCACCGTAGGTTAGAAGAGACAACAGAAAGATCCTCTCCTAGAATCTTTAGCAGATGCACAGCCACACTGGCCCCTTGATTTCTGTTGCTTGAAGCTATCCAGTGCAGGGTAACTTATAAAGGCAGCTCTAAGACACGAGGGCTTTATACAATGGCACTTTTCCTATATTTTTCTTAAAATATGTGGTGGAATCACACAAACTAGTCTAGAATATTAGTAGAGGTTCTCTTAAAAGATACTCCCTAACCCCTTATCTCTGTGAGTTCAAGGCCAGCCTGTTCTACAGAATGAGTTCCAGGACAACCAGAGTTACACCAAGAAACCCTGTTTTGAAAAACCAAAGATACTACAAAAATCCCAACCACTTCCTCAAATAGTGAAAATTTTAAAAGTTAGAACATTCTGAGGTAGCCTAGTTCTTAAGTCAGAGCACCCTAGCACCACCCCGGTCAGTGTCTGAACACCCCCAGCTGGCCTTAGATACACATCATGGGATTTTTCTACTGTGTAAATTGTACAAACTGGTGATTTTTTTTATAGCCACAGGCTGTCAACAAATAGCACCAAAATAGAAATAGGAAACATTCATTTTGGAATCCCTGAGTTCCCCTTAGGACCTCACACAAGTCACTCTAACCTCCCCAGTTTCTCAGTTCCTTGGTTGTTAAAGGAAATGATAAAGGATGAGGCTGTTCCTTCTTTGGCTCTATTCTAATGTGGTTTTTTGACTCGATTACAGGGGAATAGTTCAAACTATCCTATGTCAATTTCCCCTTGTGGGACTTGGATGCCTTAAAATTCAGGGGTGTCTATGGCTAAGGATCAGCCTTCTGAAGCCTGAGTGTGGGGTTGGGACACCGACCCTAACTATCCATGAACTGAAAGTCTCCACTTACCTAATGGAAGGGAGGTAGGGTGTAAGAAGAGCAGATCTTGGACAGTAGAGATTCATCACGCCATGGGATTCTAGAAGAAATGATATATTGTTCTGATACATTGGACTGTATAAACAATAAAGCATAGTAAAGAATGTAATGGCTAGGCAAACAGTCAAAATAAAGTACCTTTCCCACAAGAGAAGCTTGAGAAACATGAACGCTAGCCATGAATCACTGAACCACAAGACAGATGGGGTTGGAGAGAAGGCTCAGCAGTTAAGAGTACTCGCTGCTGTTGCAGAAAACCCTCCCTACATACAGGGGCTCACAACTGTCTGGAACTGCAGTTCCACAGAATCCAACACCCTCTCCTGTCCTCTATGGGCACCAGGCACATATGTGGTGCACAGGCATACATGCACATAAAACCCTCATGTGCATTAAATAAAATCTGTAAAAATTATTTTATTTTTATCATTTTGTGTATATGAGTGTTTTACATGTGTGTATGTCTGTATACCACACGCATACAGTGACCTTGGAGGTCAGAAGAGGGCATTGGATCCCCCAGAACTGGAGTTACAAATGGTAGTGAGCAGCCATACTGGTTCTCTGGACTCTGGAAGAGAAGCCCATGATCCTAACCAGAAAGTCATTGCTCCAGCCCTAATATGTAATATTTAAAAGACAAAAAACTCAAGCCAGAGTCTGTCATAGTTCTAGTTTAACATACCAAGTCAAGGGTGCAGCAGTGTTCATTCACCAGATTATGAAAAGTTTACCTACATACAAAAGCATGTTGTGTGTGTGTGTGTGTGTGTGTATGTGTGTGTGTGTCTATCTGTTGGTCTGTTTGGGGATTGATTGATTGATTGATTGATCTCGTAACAGGCTGGCTTTCAAGTTGCTGTGTGGCTAAGAGGCTGAGCTTGATGCCCTGTCCTCCTGCATCCTCTTCCCTTATGCTAGGGAGGAAAATGAGCTTCCTGAAAGATGTGCTTCCTGATGCCAGAGAATGTTTCTTCTTTGGCAGAGACTAACTTCTGTGCACAGTTGGGCTCAACCTTAATTAAATAACTCCTTCACAGCTACTCTTATTTGACCAAATAATCACGGATACAGGAGATTTCCAGATTTGGGATGACTACAGACAGAAGACCTCCCTTTCCAGAGGAACAAAGAAGTCATTCCTGTGAAGTAGAGTATGGAAGATTCACCTGGCAATTCAAATGGATTCCTGATGCTGATTGTAATCCAACCATATTACTAAAGGAAATTGATTCTCTGATATCAAATAGATTTGGAGAACTGGAACTAGATGGGCTGCTTGTACTGGTTTCAAGTGATTTTGTGGTATTAACCTCTGTCCATTGACAGCTACTTCCAGAATGGATTGGCAAAGGACTTTAGGACCCCCTTGGATGCAAGGATGCTGGATTGAAACTGCAAGTCCTCCTCCAATCTCCCCACTGTACAACACAGACAGAAATCTGACTTTCATTGGCATAATCATCTACTTTCCAATTATATCCCTCAACTAGGATCAGTAGATATATTATACCATCTGGGACCACTAAGTACACACAAAACCCCTTAATGATCCACCTCAAAGGATCTTACTGCTAAACTCAAAGTAACTTTTTGTTTGTTTGTTTGTTTGTTTTCTTTCTTTTTCTTTTTTTTTTCATTTTGAGACAGGGTCTCTCTACATAGCCCTGGCTATCCTGGATCTCACTCTGTAAACCAGGCTGGCCTCAAACTCACAGAGATTCACCTGCTTCTACTTTCCAAATGCTGGGGTCAAATGTGTGCATCACCACATAAATGATGCTGCAGCCATCCTACAAAACTAATTTTGACTGAGTGAAAGCGGGAACCTGTGCCATCTTCACTGTGGAATGCTGTGTATATAACACCCCACAAGACTTAGACTAAAATGACCTACTCTGTTTTGAGTTTCAATGGTTGATTATCATGATGACTTTCAGATATAACATGTTGACTGAGGTTTCTGTCCTGCCCAGTCCTGCAGCTGTTAAGTACCAAAGAATCACAGAGAGGTCTTTATTAATTATAAACAGATTGGCCTATTAGCTCAGGCTACTTATTAACTCTTATAACTTATAATAGTAATTATAAGTTATAATTCTTGTCTGTGCTAGGCACGTGGCTTGGTACCTTTTTCGGCAAGGCAGTCACATCTTGCTTGCTCTGGTGTCTGGCTTCCTCTGTGTTTGGGTGATGACTTCAGACTGAAACTTCCCTCTTCCCAGAATTCTCGTTATCTTGCCTCTACTTCCTGCCTGGTCACTGGCCAATTAGCGTTTATTTAAAATACAAGTGACAGGGTACAGACCATTGTCCCACAGCACTAACACAATGAAAAATGTCCTTCTTCTTTTAACATTGACCTTAAGACTAGCTATGACAATCTGCTCTATGCTTTATGGTCTATATATTCCAGTGCCACAGATGATGCTATCTTTTCAGATTCCCAAAGAATAACCCTCTAATCTCTAAGCTAACCTTCTCGTGTTTCCCTTAGGTCATACATGGGAAAACTTCCAAACCCAGAGAGCTCGCTGTGCAAGCACAGGACCTGAATTTGATTCTCAGAACTTACATAAAAAAGCTAAGTATGGTGGTGTGCACTTGTAGCTCTAGAGAAGGGAAGGGAGAAGCAGGTAGGTCCCTGGGGCTCAGTGGCCTGCTAGGGTAGCCAAATTAGTGAGTTCCACATTCAATGAGAGACCTTGTCTCAAAATAAATAATAAATAAACAAACAAGCTAGATTAGATAGCATCCTGAGAAACAATGGCCAGAGTTGGCCTCTGGCCTCTATACATAACCTGCAGGCACACATCCATCTGTGTACACACACACACACACACACACACGCACGCACGCACGCACGCACGCACGCACGCGCGCGCACGCGCGCGCCTATAATCCCTGGAAGGCAGAAGCTACACACTATACAGAACACAGATGTTAACTCAAGATTAAGAGATCCAACTCTGAGAGCAGGGAACTGAAGCAGGATAACTAGTTAAAAAATAAAAGGGGACATGAAGCAGGAAAAGGCCCTCTTCATCCCTGGTTCTTATTTTGTCCAGAGACCCAGGAATTTCTTCATAACTAACCAATCACCTGCAAAAGAACTGCACTCCCCTTTTGGAGAATCATCACAAGCAAGCCTGTGAAAAATGCAGTCCAACCTTCCTGTGACCTATGTACAAATAAGGGTCCTTTGAATCCGGGTTCCTATCTGTATTAGCATTCCCTTCTCTACCGGCAAGCCCCCATCATATACCTTTAAAAAGTCCCTTCTCCAAGAACGGAATTCTGAGGGTAACAAAAATAAATATACCAGCACAAATATATTCTTTGCCGAATAGCTAAGCTTAGTTGTATGTGGGGTAGCTTCAAAGCCCAGGGTCACATTGCAGCTGCTTCTAGGATCCTGAGGTGCATTCCTGCCCTGTCTTCTAGATTGGCTGACCTTGCTCCACTCTCACCCTGAAGTTCTTTTCTGTGGAGGACATCAAGGAGCCAGCAGAATCTGAGAAGACGCTGTGAGGCTCCAAGCTGGACTGCTCCACTGTTCTGTCCGCAGTATAGAATTTCTTATTTAACAGAATTTCAAGTGTAACATTACCAGAAAGGGCAGGTGACCCAAGGCGGTGCTAGACCAAGGATTCTGTTTTCAGACGGAGAACTACTCATTCTGTGCCGGCATGTTTTACTTGATAAATAGACCTCTATAAAGCTCTAAACATAAAAATAGCTCTGGTGTCTGGTAGGATGGGGTCCCATCTGTGGTCTACGCCCTCCTTCCCAAGTCTCCGCTCTCAAGGACACAACTCTGCAACTTCAAAGCAACGAACTGAGCTATGGGGAGACCTTGAGCTAGGAACACATCCCCACATCATGAAGTTAGTAGGCAAGTTCTACCTTATTTCTCCTCATAACCAGGGCACGGGATAGGCCATTGGCTTGTGAAAGACAGGAGACTCACTAAGTGTGTAAGCATTGCGGCTCAGACGGAATGGGATCCCCTGCAGTCAGGAGTCAAGGAATACCAAGTGTTACAGTTTGGATGGGAAAACATTCTAGCAGTCAGGGGCCAGGGAATACTGAGTGTTACAGCTCGGGCGGAAGAGCATTCTGGCAGTCGTGAGCCAGGGACCAGCACAGGTCACAGTAAGCGTAGCCCCTTACAGCCCTTCTGTAGGGTAAGGCTTGCCCAACTTAACAGCTCTGCTCTGGCAGGAGAGGGCTTCCCCAGCAACGTTGTGACAATGCAGCCCAGGTGCCCCAGAGCCTAACAACTCCACTCTGCTAGTGGAAGGCCTCCCCAGCTCCTCCCTCTCTGGTGAAAGCAGCTCTTCACCCAAACCCCATTCATTGGGAGAGAAGGATCCAGGAGAGTGGTTGCCTCTGCCAGGGTGGGAAAAAGGCAGCAGCAAACTGGACAGGTGCAGGGCTTACATAGGGCTCCTTAGGGGTGGAGTTTTTCCAGGGAGAAGATTTTCAGGGTGGGAATTGGTCACATTTCAGTCCCTTGAGTCCAGACTGGCCAGACCTCTGCTCAGGGATTAGTTGGTTTTCTGATCAGGGATTGATTCATTTCCCTGTACAGGAATTGGTTGCTTTCCATTTAGGGGCAGATTTGACTTTGGTTTCAGGGCCAAACTGTGTTCTTTTCCCTGTTTTTTTCTTTTTTTTAAGCTTTTTGATCCTAGTTTTGGGGCCAGGGCATATTTCTCTCACTAGCTCTGATTCTAGGGCCAAAGTGTATCCTCCCCGCCTCCTATAGGGTTTCTCTGTGTAACTGTCCTAGAACGCACTCTCTTGACCAGGCTGGCCTGGAACTCACAGAGATCCGCCTGCCTCTGCCTCTTGAGTGCTGGAATTAAAGGCGTGCGCCACCACTGCCCGGCAAAAGTGTGCTTCTTTGGCACTGGTTTCAGGGTCAGGGTGTCATTTCTTTGGCTCGGGGGTTCAGGGCTAAAGTATTTCTTTCACTGGTTCGGGTCTCAAAACCACGGTGGGTTTCCTTCACTGGCCCTTTTACTCTACAGAAAGAGTACCTTCTTATTTGTAAGGCAAGAAGTTACTGGCAGAATGTAAAAATATGCGGAACTGGACTGTTGAGAGCCCCAGTGAGCAAAAGTACTTGTCATGCAAGCCTTAGAGCGGGAGTTCAATCCTGTAACTTGGAGTGGAAGGAGAGAACCTTGTCTAGAAACTTATCCTTGACGTGTCCATACCGAACTGAGGCACAAGTGCCCCTCCCGCCCCCGCCCATCATAATGAATGAATGAATGAATGAATGAATGATAGCGTTCTGGGTTGAGCCACAATGCCTAGGCCTTGCTAGGCTGTGTTGCTCCTAGAATCTTCCGCAACACGAAGAAAAGATAAACCGCGGTCTCACCACCACTTTGCGTCTTTGGGGACGACGAGGCTCGCGAGAGGAGGCCAGGAGCCGCTCGGACCTCCTTCCCTCAGCCCTGAGGGAGCCCAGTGCTCGGTGCCAATCATCCGGCAGGCCCCGCCCCACGCAGGCCCATTTCCCCACCTTCCCCAGCGCGAGCGCGCTCTCGCTCCCTACGTGCGCGCGCCGGCGCGAGCTGTGACGTGACGTTGGCGGGCGCGCGCAGCGTGCCTCCCGGAAAGGAGCGGAACCTCCGGGAAGCTGGTGAGCTGGTGGCCGGGATGCGGTGCGCTCGTGGCCGCCCGCCCCCCCGGAGCCGCGGCCGGCCCAGCAGGTGAGGCCCGAGTCCCGTGGAGCTAGGGCAAAGGGAGGCCACGGCCCTGTAGAGCCTTCCCCGCCGCTACATCCGGGCGCCCCGCCGCAGCCCCGTGACCCCGGTGACAGGTGCTTGTCCCCCCCCCCCCCCCGGACACCGTGGCGGATCTCCGGAGAGTCCCTGAACCCCTGGCGACTGTGGGTTGAGGGAAAAGGGCTGTCGTTCCTGGGGCCGGATGACTCCCGTCTGCCTCCCGAAATCTGTCACTGTCGCATGTATAGCAGCATGTATTTGCTTTGCTCTGCGATTTGGGGAAGTTTCCTGTTAGATTTCCCCGTGGAAAAATGGAGCTGACCGGGAGATAAGAGTGATGGTGCACGGTTGTGGTCCTCAACTTGAGCCATGCGAGGACTCCTTTTGAAGGGACAAGTCTCCCCTTCTCAGGACTATAACCCCAGAACCTGCAGGGCGCTGCAGACCCAGCTAGGTGAACACAGGTGCAGAGACCATATGCCACTAGAAAACAAGAGATGCTTTCTAATTCAAGACCTGCATGCTACACAGTGAACGAGAGGTCAATAACAGTTCTAAATTAGACACCCAGTTAACGTTAGGGTGCGGTCTTTAATGTATTCAACTTTTATGAGGGAAAATTACCTAAATCTCTATTCTCAGAGGGCCCTAACATCGGCATGGTGTTATGTGTGAGTTGTCTTTGTTTCTAGTTTGCTAATTGTTTGACATTGTTGCAGAACTATGCTCATTTATACAAGTAGTTTGTTTTTTTATTTTTACTTTTTGCTTATCTTAATGTTGACTTACTACCTATGTTCAAAGTGTTATTACTGTATATGGTGTGACTGGATGATGTGTGATTGTGTGTGTGTGGAGAGAGAGAGAGACAGACAGACAGAGACATTTCTCACCCGGGTCTGGAGTTTAGAGGACAACTTTCTAGAGGTTCTAGGAAATGAACTCAAATAGTTAGGCTTGGGCAGTGAACGCTTTTACCTGTTGAACTATCTTGCCTTCCACCTGTTTTAATTGCTTGTTGAATTCATAGCCTACATTCTTCTGTTTTGTTTTTCAAGACAGGGTTTCTCTGTGTAGCCCTGGCTGTCCTGGAACTAGCTCTTGTAGACCAGGCTGGCCTCAAACTCACAGAGATCCACCTGCCTCCGCCTCCCGAGTGCTGGGATTAAAGGTGTGCACCACCACTGCCTGGCAATAGCTTACATTCTTTTAGACCTATCAGGGAATGTGTGATCTGAGACTTTGAGAGGAGACAAACATGGGAATTGATCTAAGGCTCTGTCTTCTCTATGTATTTGTTTAGTATGTTTATTTAAAATAGGCTACACCTGAATCATGAGATTTGAAGTGCTGGAAGACAATTAGAAAGTATAGCAAGCTAAATCTAGATTTTAAAAAAATAATACCCAGTGGCCTTGAAAGACATGTAATAGTGCAACAGGATGTGAGGAGGGAGAAGTGTTACTAAAAGCTAGAGACCAATATTAGAAGAGCTTGTGTAGAACAGGCCCACCTTGCCAGAGCAAAGAGATATTGAGTGAGGCAAGAATACGTTGTTGATATACAGTATCAGAACAGTTGATGGAGTGAGGATTTCATGTACTACACAGAGAAGTTGTTATTGATCTGCCGGCTTTCAGGTTTCTCTTTGAAGGTAGTGTTTCATAAAGAGTGTTTACAGTAAAAGCAGAGCGGCTTACCACAAGATCTGTCTTGAAGTAATGTCTGCTGTGGTCACCTTAGATGTGTGGGATGCCTGATGAAGAATTGAGAGGATCCTGGAGCTGGGGAGGTGCATGGTTGTTAAGGTGTTTGCTGTGAAAGTGTAAGGACCCAAGTTCACATCCCAGCACTGGGGGAGGATAGGGAGCATTGGGAACCAGCCTCTCCTGCAGATTGGTGAGCTCCAGGTTCAGTGAGAGGCCTTGTTTCAGGAGTTTAAGTGGAGATTGAGAAGACTCCTGATGTTGGCCTGGCCTATGTGCATGGGTGCACATGTGCATGTGCACACTCACGCATAAACAAACACATGTGAGCATACAGATACAAAAGAATTAACAGAACTTGATGGATGGTGGAATGTTGGTACAGGAAAATGGAGACTCAAAGCATGTTAGTGGTGATACCTCTCTTAGAACTGGAGAATTCAGAAGTTGATGTATTTTACCCACACTTGGCTTAACTGAGTTTAAGGTCTCAGGGCTTTAATAGACTGGACCTGGGACTAGAGGAAAATCATTCTGTTGGAGACCGCAGAGCTGGTGCAGGGAAAGTGTGGTCTGAAGAAGGCAATTCACAGTGCTGACCAGGGTAGTACGTGAGTAGTAGGAGAAAGACCGTAGTAAGAAAAGATCGACCAGGACATGCTACTTAAAATGACCACTTGATGTGAATATGGAAGAACCACGGAGCATGCGTGCAGCTCTGTACATCTTCAAGTATTCTGCTTTGCCTTTCGTCAACACCTGAGTCACTTTTGTACAGCAGCCTGCACCTCCGAGAGCCCTGGCAGACAGTCATTTTTTTTTTTAAGTTATGCACCAGGAGAGAGAGCACGAGCAAGGAACTCAGGACCGCGAGGGGGGCACCCACACACTGAGACAATGGGGATGTCCTATCGGGAACTCACCAAGGCCAGCTGGCCTGGGTCTGAAAAAGGCTGGGTTAAAACTGGTCTCGCTGAACGTAGCAGACAATGAGGACTACTGAGACCTCAAGAACAATGGCAATGGGTTTTTGATCTTACTTCACCTATTGGTTTGGTTTTTTGGGAGCCTAGGCAGTTTGGATGCTCACCTTACTAGACCTGGATGGAGGTGGGTGGTCCTTGGACTTCCCATAGGGCAGAGAACCCTGATTGCTCTTTGGGCTGACCGAGGGAGGGGGACTTGATTGGGGGAGGGGGAGGGA